TCAATTTTCAAATTTTGAGCTTATCGAAAGCCTTTGTGATGAATCACTGCCCTAATTATAGAATCCAACAGCAAACAGCCAATCAGAATGCCGCGTTCGTGGGCGAACGCGGAAAGTACAAAATACCCAATCTCGTTCCCAGAGTATGCCTGTTCGCGGGTTAGGTTGTGGCATGACTCTGGGGAAATCGAATCTAAATCGTTATTTGATTGGCTGCCGTGATCATCAATGCTGCCGACACAATTAATGCGTGTTTTTTTGCGAGAATTACGCGTGGACATACGCGAAGAGAGAATTATCAATGTTTATCAGATTTGGAATGCGAAATCAAACGATATAAATCGAAGGATATGATATTAATCGTATGAAAAAGTATTGGGACGTTGGGTATATACTTACAAAATGGCATGGTATTTATGAATGACTTTTTATCGATCTACAGTACGAGTATATTTATTATAACCATGAAAGAATTGGCTAAATGAAATCATCGCACACGTTGTCGTTTTGTTAAATTGACATATTGTTGCCAGGATTTGGAGTGACAACTTTTTCTTGTGTTAAAAACTTGAAGCTTTAAACAAACAGTACATTATGGTCAATGGTCAACACTCAACATGTTGTAGCCTGTGGTCTTTGTGCTTTTGTAAATGGAGTTATCTATATATATTTAAGATGCCAGGTGTTTTTGTAGCATCTGTATAAATTATAGAATAATTAATTTAAGAAGTTCCTCAGGTTGTAAAACATTTGGTTATAGATTTGCTTTGTAAGTGATTGCCACTTGACAGCATGATGGGCTATTCCATTTAATATCCGTACACCCCCTGTCGAGGATACATGTTTTTCATGGTTATACCCCTGAAGAATTCCAAGCTCAAAACCCTTTACCCCTGAAGAATTACAAGCTCAAAACCCTTTACCCCAGAGGAATTCCAAACTTGAAACACTTTACCCCTGAAGAATTCCAAGCTCAAAACACTTTACCCCTGAAGAATTCCAAGCTCAAAACCCTTTATCCCTGAAGAATTCCAGGGATCCTCGACAGGGGGGGGGGGGATGGATATTAAATGGAATAGCCCGATGTAAGGCTATAACTAAGCCAAACCTGAAACAATTTTTACATCAATTTGTGTCTGGATAAAAAATAAGTAGTGAATTTAAATGCAGTTGTTTCCTTGTCTGTTGCTATGTGCTATGTGAAACAATGATGTTTATAGCAATAAGAGTCATTGTTGATCAATAACAATGCTCATTTGCTAAAAATATACAAGTATTGATTCCATTTCCAAACTATTATACTATGTGAATATATTGGCAATTAATCCAATTATATATAAAAGGAGATACTGACAGTAGAATTGAAATAGCTACCAGTTTCAATCAAATAATTACTTTAATTTCTGTATCAACTATCAAGCCTCCTGTGTATTGTTTCCTAAGCATCATTGAGGGGGCACTTGTTCTAAATATATGCAATAAGTCTGGTTACCATTAAAAAATGTCCATATTCAGAGTTACCGTTGTACTATATTTTATTAAAATACTGCAGAAATGCAATATATTTCATGATTTTAAGAAATTGAATGAGGGCTGCATGGTAAAAAGAGGAGGGGGGCTTATTTATTTTTTATTTTTGTATCCAAATGAGGGGGGGGGGGGTGTATTGGAGAGGGGCTTGAAGAGAAGGGGGCTAAATATAGAAATTACAGTACCTCCATTCCTTCCTC